TGATTGCCTCATCCTTATTTTATTTGTTGCAGTTTATGACCTAGCTGTTATTAATGTTAAATATGAATATATTATTTACCACGATTGCCCTTTTTACTTTTCCTGTGTGAACATGCGTATGTCTATAATTATTTATCACGTACATAACGACGGAAAAAGCGGAGTTGTTGTAACTCGAAATACCCAGCTTTACAATTACAGTTAATATGGTAAAAGTAATTCAGCCCAAAATGCAAGTTACGACATTTCCGCTTTTTCCCATCAATTTTAATTTTGATGTGTGTATAATTATGTTCCTTACAGATATCGAAACGGCCAGATCTGTTTCGATGAATTTTGTACGGAATCTTCAGATCGTCTTAGCGGTGATGCTGTGGGGTTCGGTAGCGTCAAATTGCTCGCAAATCAAAATAGATCAGCCAAGCGGTACCGGTTAGTCAATATCTATATACGTGAAGCAAAAACTTTGTATCCCTTTTTACGAAAATTGCGCGGACAGAGGAGTATGAAATTTTCCACACTTATAGAGAATACAGAGAAGAAGTGCACAATGCTAATATTTGTTTTAAATAATGCATAAAAGATACATTAAATCGATAAAGAAAACATTACACACACTACAAACCATGTATTTGACGCACACACGCATGCATACTATTTATTGTCAAACTTTTGTTCTTGCCGTTTGTTGTCGAATTGAGAATAGATTAAAAATATTGTTTGTCTTTGTTAATATTTTTTATAGTGTAGTCTTGGCGAAATTTGTGATTATAGAAGTATAAAATACAATCATCATAGTGTACAAACTTACAATTTCAAATAATTATAGTCGAATTTCGACCACTGCGGGACCTCTAGTAATCATAAATAGACAAAGACCAAACACTTAAGTTGTGTATTGTCAATGGTACATTGCAACATGCCTACTATATTTTTATATTTTCCAGAATTTCTCTATATTAAACTCTATAAAAAAATAAGAAACTGATCCTTGGGGCGTCAGAGATTATGGTCGCATTTCCAACATTAGTCGAACGCTAGTACATTGAAATACATTGAATAGAAGGCCACGAAGCCATTACTATTTAAAGGATGGGACAACGAACTTTTGTACCAAGACAAAAATTCAAGCTTAAACTCAAAGGTTGCCAGCGAAATTCGCATTTCGGTGTCAATGCCCCCCGGCTAATAACTTAACACGATCTATGAGATTGTCAGCCCTCATAAATTCAACTATTAATTCTGTGCTTCTCTTCAAGATAGCCAAATTAAAATAGAATGACACACCACCAGCTATTATTAACCGACTTCAACAAAATATACATATTTATGATATGTATATGTATATATTTATGTGTATCTATATATTTATGTATATGTACCTAGTCAGGTCATAAATTCTGTCACATGTTTAATGTAAAATAATTGAAACAAGTTTATTCATTATGTAACCATTCATATACCAAAATGAACTTAACAAACATAGATTCTTATGACACTAAAGTTTATTCAAAATGACCTCCGTGATTTTGAATACAGGCCTTCAATCTGCGCGGCCAGTCGTCTATCGCAGCACGAACGAGGTCCATGTCAATATCGGCGGCTGCCTTAATCAAGGATGTCTTGAGTGACTCCAAATTGGGATGAGGCTTTGAGCACGCCTTTTCCTCCAAGTGTTGCCATATCTTGTAATCTAACGGATTCAAATCTGGACTGGAGGAGGGCCAGTCTTCGTGCCGGATGAAGTCGATTTCACGCGCCGCCAGCCAGTCTTGTGTGCTCTTCGCTCTATGAGCTGGCGCCGAATCTTGTTGGAATACCCAGTGCCTGTTATTGAACATGGTATGAGAAACAGGTTCCACAAGGTTCGTCAGGACTGTATTTTGATACACAACTGCATTCGTTTTTACACCTTTCTCACAAAAATGTACCTCTGTTAAGCCCCAATAAGAAACTCCCAACCATACCATGAGCGAGGATGGAAAATGACCTCGTTGGACACGCGGAATACGGTTGCTCGCTTCTTCACTACTGTGTGCGTACACCTTATCATTTTGTTTGTTGTAGCTCTCTTCTACGGTAAAAATTTTTTCATCCGAAAAAAGAATTTCCCGATATTTTTTTCCCGCGTACCGCTTCAACAAAGCGCGGCATCTCTTCAGTCTCAGGTCCATTAGACGAGCATTCAAACGATGTCCTGTTTTTCTTCGATATGCCCGAAGCCCTAAGTCTTCATTTAACACCCTTTTCACCGTGGTTCTGCTTAACCCCATCTGAAGGGCCAACAGTTTCTGCTTACGTTTGGGATTTCTTTGAATTCGCGCCTTCACAGCTTTTATCACTGCTGGAGTCCTAACAGACCGAGGGCGACCACTTCTTGACCTGTCATCTACACTAGAGTCTTCATTGTATCGTTTGATGGTACGATAAACGAATCTTTTGGTTATATTCAAATTTTTCAGTATGTTAAAAATTTGAATTGGCGCGTAACCGCAACGATGCAACGCAATAACTGCAACACGGTCTTCTTTAAGCGTCCACTCCATATTTAAAAATGAGTAAAAATTCTAAAAGTATACATTTTTATTTTCATGAACAATTCGAAATTCGAATTCAATAAACTTTTTTGTGGCCAGCATTCTAAAAGAAAAGTTTTTACTGTGTGACAATACTTATGACCTGACTAGTTATATATTTAAGTACGAGTATTTGTGTCTATAAATATTATGTATGTTATATTATATACACATATGTTTTAGTAATATCATTATCACACTACACCTACCAAGCTTCATCTCTGCACTCCCTTAAGGTAGACTGTTAGAGAATGCCTATGGCATTAAGTCCACCTTTATACTTAGAATATATTTATACTTATACTAGTATTAGAAGTTATGTTACCTCATAGCTTCTGACTGGGTTAATCGATTTTAATTATTCTTTTTTTATTAGAAAACTGACGCTCCCCGTGTGGTCCCATTTCAATTTAGTCCAGTTCTGATAATGGTATCCACGAGAAAACTATATAAGTCTTAAATTGGCATTAAGTACCTACCTACGTGCGTGACAAATAGATGAATAACTCAGTAACTCAATACCACGCCAACCGATTTCAAAGATTACTGTTTTTAGTGTATATTAATTTGTTTTGGAGTATCTTTTTTTTCTATTTGAAGTTGGTTTTTGTTAAAGCATGTCTATTTACAAATACTAGTGGTCCCGCAGTAGTCGAAATTCGACTATAATTAATTGAAATTTTCTTTATAAACATTATTATGGTTCTATTGTCAAACACTATTAGAATTTTTTTAATATAATCACAGATTTCGCCAAAACTACACTATAGATAAATAGTATTAAATACAAACAATATTAATTTATTCTCAATTTGATCACAGATTTTCAACAATAAAAAAAGTTTGACAATAAACGCAGAGTATATGTGTTGTGTCAAATACATAATAGTGTGTGTAATGTTTTTTTTATTGATTTAATGTATCTTTTATGCATAATTAAAAATATATATTAACATTCTGCACTCCTTCTCTATATTCTCTATAAGTGGGGGAAATTTCATACTCCTCCGTCCGCGCAATTTTCGTAAAAAGGGATACAAAGTTTTTGCTTCGCGTATTAATATATATAGACTATATAATATATATAGATTTTATGCCCTATCATTAAAAGGAACTATGCGTAACCAGGACGCTTAAATTATTCTTTGTCAATGTTATTATCACACACATGTAAGACTCCATTAGTGAGCAGTTGCATATAAGCGCATGTGACCGATTCGGCGGACATGTGCTATGCTAATCACGACCGATCTGGCTCAAGGATGTATTCATATGTCGCTGTTAACTTGACGAGATTAAACGCTAAAACATTTGGACTGTGAATGAAATACTAAGGAACATATGGCGTAAGTGAAGCGATCTATATTAGCAGGAACAGTAGTGGTGATGCTCGGTCCTACTAAGATTATTTTTATGATTGAGGGATTACTGGTGCCTGTAGGCCTTTCCAGTTTCACCAGGACAGGTGAGCGAGCAAGGGCTCAGTCTGGAGGGGTGGAATTTGCTAACAACTACCCGAGCGCCTCCAAAGACCTAACTACAAAGAGTAGCTGCTTGGCGAATGAATTTACGACCTTAATTTGCTTATAGTCATTTTCAATTCTACGTAATGTATTCAAAAATTTTTTTTTCCCTTGTATGCAGTCGAGCATACGACCCACCTGATGGTGAGTGGTTACCATCGCCCATGGACTTCAGCAATGCCAGGGGCAGAGCCAAGCCGCTGCCTACCTAAAATGCAATATAAGCTTATGATTTTGTGCTTAACTCGACAAATCAATATTATTTACCGTTTAATTAAGATCTTGTATGGTTCTTTTGAATTTTAGATGCTGTAAAAGTTTATCTATCGACGCTGACGGCTTTCACGAAATAATACATCCTCGAAAGATTTTTATTATTGAAAGCACAAACAAGAATTTGAAACTTTCCAAAAAAACATATTCTATACTCATATATACTGTGTTACTTATAATATTTTGTATTCAAGTTTAACAATGTTTGCTATGTGTATGTGCATTACTATAATTCTCATGTTGTATTTGTTATTTTAGCTGTTCTACACACACACTCATCACTTTTAATTATTATTCTCATAATCCTCTCGCAGGTCTGCCGGAAGAGATTTTTTAAAGAAATAAGCAGTGCCTTTGTACGTAATTTTCCTATTACTCTGTACTATGTCTTCTTTTTTGTGTGTACATGTCGAGTCTCTATATCGGGCAAGGGTTAATAAGGCAAGTGTTCAGTTAAATGACTAACGTATATTGGGATTACAACCTAACGTGCTATCGACAGCCCGACAATCCTGAGACTGACGTAGCATCATTACAATATAATTACCGCTAAGACCTGCATATAATTATTAGTTGCTATGGGGACATTTGTGGTCCCTACATACGTAAATAAATAAATATTACTCACGGTAGCGCCGACGGGTTGAGCAGCTTCAGCTGTAGCCCTGGGCTCACCATCTACGCAGAAGTAGCACTTGTCTGGCGGCTTCCAATCCGCTGGTTCCTCTAGGACTTCCACTTTCGGTTGCGTCGCTGGTCTCTTGATCAGACTCTCCAGGATCGTCTCCGGCCGTGACGTCTTCGACTCTTGGCCGTTTCCATCGCTCTCGACCCTGGGCCTCTCGTCTTCTGGCGCGTTGATTTCCTCGATGGTTTTGATCTTGAGCGCCGGGGGCGGGTCGGTGGATGGCATCGAATCGTCTGAATCGTCCTGTTCGTTTCGCTTTGGTATTAACGCGTCCTGATATAGTTTCCATTTTCTTCTACCCATCAACTCTTCCGCCACCCGTTCTAGACCTGGAATCAATAAAACAATTAAACTGGTTTGGTTTTTTTTTTTTTTTATCTATTTGTTAACTGGTGGTAGGACCTCTTGTGAGTCCGCACGGGTAGGTACCACCACCCTGCCTACTTCTGCCGTGAAGCAGTAATGCGTTTCGGTTTGAAGGGTGGGGCAGCCGTTGTAACTATACTGAGACCTCAGAACTTTATCTCAAGGTGGGTGGCGCATTTACGATGTAGATGTCTATGGGCTCCAGTAGCCACTTGGCACCGGGTGGGCTGTGGGCTCGTCCACCCATCTAAGCAATAAAAAAAAAAAAAATTGTGATATTCTTTATTTATTTTTCTAATTAAATTTTATTCGTTACTAGCGACCCGCCTTCGCTTCGGAAACCGTAATTTATTATTGATTTCTCCACTATTTAATGGATGTTATTATACATATAAGCCTTCCTCTTCAATCACTCTATCTATTAAAAAAAACCGCATCAAAATCCGTTGCGTAGTTTTAGAGATTTAAGCATACATAGGGATATAGGGACAGAGTAAGCGTCTTTGTTTTATACTATGTAGTGACTTTGTTATCTCGTGAGATTGTGTTAGTCTGAATTTTGCGTTTGTTTTCATTGAAATTATTCAAATTGTCATGTGTGTAAATGGAGCGGGATTTATCAAGTACTAGAGGTCCCGTAGTAGTCGAAATTCGACTATAATTAATTGGAATTGTAAGTTTGTACACTATTATGATTGTATTTAATACTTTTATAATCACGAATTTCGCCAAGAATACGCTGTAAAAAATATTAACAAAGACAAACAATATTTAATCTATTCTCAATTTGACAACAGACGTCAAGAACAAAAGTTTGACAATAAATAGTATGCATGCGTGTGTGCGTCAAATGTAGTGTGTAATGTTTTCTTTATTGATTTAATGTACCTTTTATGCATTATTTTAAAAAAATACTAGCATTGTGCACTTCTTCTCTATATTCTCTATAAGTGTGGAAAATTTCATACTCCTCCGTCCGCGCAATTTTCGTAAAAAGGGATACAAAGTTTTTTCTTCACGTATTAATATATCAAGTATATCAATGCGTCCAGTTCACATCTCTCAACGGCTCAACACGTTTTCTTGCTGTTTTCATTAACATATATTTTCTCCAGTAACTATTGATGAGATTTAGTGCGGCCAATACCTTAGATCTAAATAATGATTGATATCCGATTTCGTCCTTAACGAATAAAATTTGCATCCAATTTATTTCATTATAATGTATTCATTATTGTCGATCAAAAATACATCGACCTAGACCTAGTTACATTATAACAGCGGCTATGACGCCGTCTAAGTTTAAATCGTGCACGGCGCAAAATATTTACAAATTTTTTTTTTTTTCTTAAATGGGTGGACGAGCTCACAGCCCACCTGGTGTTAAGTGGTTACTGGAGCCCATGGACATCTACAATGTAAATGCGCCACCCACCTTGAGATATAAGTTCTAAAGATCTCAGTATAGTTACAACGGCTGCCCCACCTTTCAAACCGAAGCGCATTACTGCTTCACGGCAGAAATAGGCAGGGCGGTGGTACCTACCCGCGCGGACTCACAAGAGGTCCTACCACCAGTACTTTACTAATATTTGTCTAATATCTAAACTGTTTATCAAGCCTTTTGCATACTGATGAAACCGCTTCATTTGTTCCCAGCTTTAAGATTTGAAGGGAAAAAGAGGTATTATAATGTAAAAGATGGATTTTTAAAAACATCCCAAAACCCGCTTTTTCATCGTTAGCAAAAATTTGCAGTTAGTACCACTAATTTTTTAATTAAAAAAGTACGTGAACACACTCACAAATTTTCATATTAACGATATTAAATTTACTATCGACGAAACACGATGAATCTATGAATATTATAAAGCTGAAGAGTTTGTTTGTTCGAACGCGCTAATATCAGGAACTACTGGTCCGATTTGAACAATTATTTCAGTGTTACATAGCCCATTTATCGAGAAAGGCTATAGGCTATATAACATCACACGAAGCACTAATACAAGCGGAGCACCAATAAATAATGTTTCAAAATCGGGGCTATTTTTCCCTTTTGAGAGCTTCCGCTGCGTGCGCTGCAGAAACGGTTAAAGTTTCGCTAAAATAATGTATGACAGAATTGTTCCCCTTTGAAAGAACTAAAAAAAAGTCCGCGACAGCATATAAATGTTGAATATGTTGGTATGGGCCCATCTGAAGTCCATGGGCGACAGTAACCACTCACTGGTGGGCCGTATGCTCGTCTGCCTACATGGGAAAAAATGTACATTTGTAAATGTCGTTAGCGCGATTCAAGACAGTGTCGCGATTTCTTCTGTTTCACCAGTAAGGAGTGCAGATTACGAAGCTGCAACAGAGTGCAAAGAAACTCTGGCACGACCATATCAGGTATGTCCTTTAATACTATAACTTATGATAATTTCGTTTTAATTGGGTTCTTCTTCTCAGTCGTACACTCCTGGCGGAGCGGTCGTGGTTACGTACCTAAGTCTTAATGTTTGGTTGTGGCTTTTGAGAGACTTCTCCATCTTTCTCTATTTGTGGCGGTACGTGTACACTCAGTAAGGGAACACTTCGTAGATAACTTAACCAAGTCTGTCTACCTTGTGGACGATCGGCCGCGAGAGCGTTGACCGTCCACTCTTCCTCACTAAACGTTCCAATGAGCTTTCATTACGAATGAAATTAATTGGGTCAGGATGTGTTTAAAAAATGTTAATCGATCAGGGATCGAATCAAGTGACTGTAGGTACGATTATCCACCAAATCACACAGACTTTCTAAGCTTAGGCGAAATCTCGTTACATAAGTTTATGGCTAATAATATTAAAGCCATCTTTCAAAACTTTTCGTTATCGGAATTTTCTAGAAAAAAAATATACTAATCGATCGAATGAAGTTAGTTTGTATCCGAAATGTGACTGATCGTATGGACGTGGGTACCGCGCTTAAATTATAAGTTTGTCGAGTCCTGGCCTACGATAATCGCACCGCACTGCATTCTTGCCTTAATTACGATAAGCACACGGTTTACAATTACGAAAAGTCAAATTTGATGAGCGGATCGAGTCGTACAATTTTCCGCCACCTGTACTCTTAGTTAACTGAAGCGAGTCCCCGACATGCTAATAACACAATTAATGACGGTGCCGACGAACTCGTGGCGTGGCGGAATGAAAAAAACTAATTACATACAGCAAGTGACTTCTGAGCGGACCGCGGACTGAGTTCAATAAAACAATTCGTGCCTTAAACGAAGCAAGAATCAACTAAGTCCAAACTAATTAATATCTAGAATGAGAAAACCAAACCCGCAAAATTATAATTTGCGTAATCACTGGTGGTAGGACCTCTCGTGAGTCCGCACGGAATACCACCACCCCGCCTATTTCCGCCGTGAAGCAGTAATGCGTTTCGGTTCGAAGGGTGGGGTAGCCATTGTAACTATACTGAGACTTTAGAACTTATATCTCGAGGTGGGTGGCGCATTTACGTTGTAGATGTCTATGGGCTCCAGTAACCACTTAACACCAGGTGGGCTGTGAGCTCGTCCATCCAGATAAGCAATAAAAAAAAACAAAAAAAAGAGAAACAATAAAATCTCACCGCGAAATTACGCGTTATTTCTCAATTGCATGCACTTGAGTACGATTGAAGCTTTAACAAAAGGCAATCCAAAAAAATGGCGGAACAAACACAGTGACGTCACAGAATGGCTGATAAAATAAACAAAGGATGATGCCCGCGTGTGCCGACTACTGATTGGCTAAAACAGCGATTAGACTGGTCTATTCCAAGGTCAATGTGAGTCAACTTGCATTTGTGTATGCATGTTTGGTGTTGGGAACACAGCACGAGATGAAGCGGACGCGAGTTGTCATTCACTGAATCTTTTCGCTCGGGTGTCATTTGTTCGTGCACTATAATGACGCTTGTCACGTCATTTCGAATCCGATCCACTAACGGTGCTTTTAGGCACCTCAAGCACCGGTCACCATTTTTGCGACGAAGGGTTCGGCGAGTAAACTAACCCATAGACACAGCACACTGAGTTTCTCGTCGGATCTTTTCAGTGAGTCACGTTTCCGATCCGATGGTAAATTCTGCGAAACACTGCTCTTGCTAGGGCCAGTGCTAGCAACGTCTCCTGGTTTGAGCCCCGAGGGCTCACCTACACATTAGGGTTATGCTGACATAGCCTCTCAAGGCTATCCAGCTTAGGTAGAAAAAAAAATTAATGAAGAAATTTCACAATTTTCCATCATCCTATGTCATCAATCTAAATGATTCATTTAGAATTAACTGAAGTGGACTATCATAATTCTAGTCATCGGTTTACAATAACAAAAACCTTTATCACCTACTGTGGAATTGTGCTATGAATTGCCCTCTGTAGAGTTCTCTCGGTGTATCAAGCAAGCTTCACTAACACATGATAATATTATTTGCATTGTGGGAATCAGTCGATGAAGGTCTCACTTATGGCCACTTAGTACGTTGGTTTTACTTTTCATCAACAACGAGAGAGCATACGAATAAAAATAAAACCCGCAAAATTATAATTTGCGTAATTACTGGTGGTAGGACCCCTTCTGAGTCCGCACGGGTAGATACCAACACCCCGCCTATTTCTGCCGTGAAGCAGTAGTACGGTTTCAAGGGTGGGGCAGCCGTTGTAACTATACTGAGACCTTAGAACTTATATCTCAAGGTGGGTGGCGCATTTACGTCGCAGATGTCTATGGGCTCCAGTAACCACTTAATACCAGGCGGGCAGTGAGCTCGTCCACCCATCTAAGCAATAAAATATATATATATTTAACATATATTTACTATGATATAAATCGCTTTGTTCTTCTGACAAACACCACACGAAATTGAATCAACGCGGAAACGTCAAATGTCCTTGTTTGGAACATCTCGAATATGCGCACGGAATAACAGAGATTACTGTTTTATT